GACCTTTTACGTGCTTGCGACCCTTTTCACTCCCGGCACCCCAACACAGAGTCCAAGGTTTAGCAGTGACCTTGGTCGCTGTAAGAACAAGTGTAAGCAAGGGCCTCCCTGCATCCCATTCCTTGGGACTGACTGTAAACCTCAGGCCTTAGCACTGCTGGGAGCAGCCACTGTCTGGAAAAACAGGCTGCTGTTTCAGAAAGTGCCGTTAGTTAGAGGAGACTTAACTGGGAAGTTAAAGCACTAAAACAGAATTAGTTCTGGTTTAGTCCAAACCAGGACATGGACAAAAAAATGTAAACAATTACAGATATCCGTGTCTTTCCAAATTTCTTTTAGCAGCAGCAGTAAAAATACTCACAGCACCTTTCCGCTTAAAAATCTGTTTGTCTGAAGCAGTGTATTCTTTTTCAGCATTTAGTTGTGTGCCACAGGGTAAATTGTTTATCTAATGTAGCCAGGGGCCTCTAGGTACACTGAAATTATATGGCTATATTCCCTGGAATGTAAAGGAAAAAACTATCTGTAGGTAGTGCATTGTTATTGCAACTATTGCTCTACCTTTCTTTTCCAGGATCATCTTTCCTGCTTAATCCCCACAATCTCAATTTCCTTTTAAATATTGTCCAGAAAGATTGCACAGTTCTAATGCTGTCATATTTTAATGCAGACCGATGGTGTTAAATTGTTTTGTTATATTTAGTACTTTTGCCTTAAAAAATAAATAAAGTATACAAACAAAACCAAACCAAAACAGACAGAAGCAAAATCTGTACAACATTCCCCTCCCTGTGCTCCTTTCCCCCAGCTAGTGTGGGATAGACATGCTTTTAGGCAGTGATTATCAGTGTCATCTTGCATATATTTGACATTATTCTGCAGATTTTTCACTTTAACTTTTATGTTACTGTCACTCATTAGGAGATTTTAAAAATTATTTTTACTGTTGTGGGTCACAGAGGCATCTGCTAATGGCCATAAAGTAATCTGTGGGAATAAGGACTTTCTATTTTCACTTCCCGTCATTTCTAAGGGTAAGGAATAAAATCTGTGTAGCATTAAAGTTCCTTTTAAAATATATTTTCCTTATTATTAATGTTTTTTTTTCTTAGTTACTTGGAATACATTTTTTTTTTCCCCTTTCAGTTTTAGCAGGTGATGGAGAGGTTTGTGTCTGTGTTAAACAATAGCTTTCCTGAACCAGATATTGGCTTTCAATTGCCTGCATTTTGAGCTGTCTTCTGGATTCAAAATGTGGAAATACCTAGAATTATCTAGATCCAGATCTTGTTGAAAAGACAGAAAGTTTTTACAGTTCTGGAATTTGAATCAGGGTTGCCTTTAATGCCTTAATACCTCTTAATCCTCATGACAGTATTGAAGACTGCTCTGGTAGTACATTAACATGATTAACTTGTGTTGCATATGTTTGGTTTCCTTTTGGTTATCCTCTACTTGGGCAATGTACCTCTGCTCCTCAGGCAGAAATGTTTATCCACTGAAAATGATAATCCAAGTCTTTATTTTTTAATCTGTTTTAATCCATTTCTTTAACTGTTAATATCTTCTTAAAAAGAGTAATATGCTTTTTCTTTCCCTATAAAGTTGCAAAGTCACTTAAACCATCCTTGGATGGACTTTCCTGACCCTTTCAAGGACTCTGTGGTTACAGAACAAAAAGGGTATGAGCTATCTGTAGTGGCAAAGGCCTATCTGTCTTGGCTCAATAGCAGAAAAGAAGCAAAAGTTGTGACGCACAGAGAGTGTGAGGCTTTAAAATTCTGTCACTGAGGAATGTATATGTGAGCTGACTTATTTTGTGGTGTTTTTGAGATAAAACAGGAACCCCCTATTTTTAATGCATTTCATCTTATGAAGCACGAAAATTTCCACAGTCTGAACAGATCTGTAATGGTTGTAATTGGTACACGTTTGAAATGCTTTACCTCTGTATTGTTTACTGTAATGAACTGGTCAATGAACATCACAAATTGTTTGTCTATATATATATATCTTGACAGATTACTGTTTATGAAATCCATTTAGCAAGTGAGGTTTTCCCATAAGGATGAAAAATGAAGATTTTAAACAGATTGCTGGAGAGGCTCTAACTGCACCTAGAGAGTCAATGTAATAAAGGTTTCTCTATATTAATATTACAAAACCCATTTATCCTCACAAAATCAATATTGCAATTCATCTTGGCCTGACATTTCTCTTTCCATGTTTTAAAAGTCTGTTTTCCTTGATTTTATGTAATTCTGTTTTAATAAAACTCAAATATATTTGACTCAAAGTATCTTGAAGAATTTAACAAGAATGCTGAAAATATTTCCTACATGATTTCAAAGGATTAGTTAATTTTTAAAAAAATCCTTAATTGACTGAATCCTTGATCCTGACTGAAAAGCATGAACTATGCATAACAACAAAGTCAGTTCTAGTGTTCTGCAGTTTAAGAAAATGTTGAATGTGATTACACAAATATAATCTGTAGAATAGAATATGATGACACGTATGCTGTTGTTTGCGGGATCTGGAGCCTAATTCAGGACAGGTGGAGGTAGGGACCCTACACTTTTCCTAGAAGAAAATGCAACAAGCAGAAAGGAGCAGCCCCACCCTGCTAGGTGCTGCAAACTGTGACTGTGACTGTATGTGTATGACAGTTTGATTGTCTCATGTGCGAATGATAATGAAAACTGGAATACTCAGGGGACCCTTATTCATAAGAGGTGCAGTAATATACAGGAGCAGTAAGAGAAGCTTGTCTTTTTATCTATTGAGACACTTTTCTTAACACCCCTCCTCAACTAAATATGTACTTAATATCATGTAATGAAATTATGACATAATAACGTACTGTCTTAGCAAATAATTCTGTCTTTTTTTACTGTAATGAAACTTTTTTTCAGTCATGACATTTAAATAGTCTAAACAAAACCTCTATTTGAAAGGGATTTGGATGCACTGTCTACAGATGAAGAGATTTAATTCAGTTTGAAAGAAATTGCCCTTTTCTCTTGACTGTAAAAGAGAGCAAACTACAGTATAGTGGTTTCCGAGAGAGAATGTATTTTATTTGTTCCCAAAAGGATATTAGTCCATAAAACAAATTTGCAGCTTATTTTGCAGCTTTAGCTTTTATCAGCCTTTTTAAGGGTGTTGAATGATTACCCAGGAGATCACACAGCACGAGCTGCTGTGGAGTAAAGGAACTCTAATACAGAGAGCTCTGTGATGGGCAGAAAATGTATGTGAAGAGTTTTCTTAAACTTGTTAAAAAATTTGTCACATTTAATGTCTATTTCACTGATTATTGACCTGAATTTCAGTGTCCTAATGTGAAAACAGTTTCCACCCTCCCCTCCTCTCTCTCTCGCCTTAAAAAGCCGATACCCAAAATGTAACTGAACTCACTTTTATTTCTGCCTTCATATGGATAGAAAGAGATTGACCAAGGTGATGCTGATGACTGGGAAAATGGCACCACCACCTGTTTCCTTGGATTTGATGAAACTGGCCAACGAAAGATCAGCCAGATATAAATCAACAACTCTTGTCTAGTCTTAGGGTTAGCAGATCAAAGGGCATATGTCGTGATTGTCTCTCCCTTGGACTTCTCCAAAGTCTTGTTGCTGCTTCATCATCTTGGGACCTGACATCTGGAGTAATTTAAGGTTCCTTCAAGGCTGATGTTGCTTATGCTTGAGAATCGGACTTTTCCAGCTCGGGGCAAAGGGAGCAAAGTATAGATTTCCCAGTATATTTTAGCTGCACTGTACAGTCCCACATTTCTCCCAGTCCATGTTTCTTCAAAACTCTTTTGTCTACAACAATTAAACACAGTGAAGTTAGAATCTAAAGTATAAGGTTTTATTTGCCATTGTTGACTTTGTTGTGACTAATGATGGCAGTCTGTATTGCAACGGGTAGCATAACAGTGTTTGCAGTTAGGGAAAAATTGCTTTGCTTAACTTCTGAGATGTTCCGAGTCTTTGAATATTTGCATAATCTGACATTGGTATCCCTGCTATAAAGGAATGTCAGTGGGGAAATAGTATATCAAGTAAAAACCAAGTTGATCGAGGGAGGTTTCACATGCAAAAGCCAAAGCATAAATTAATCCTGAAAGTACTCTGCTCTGATGCCAGAGAGATTTACAGAGTTGAAATGTGGCATTTCTGTGATATCAATGTTTTTAACTTTTTTTTTGTTCTTTTTAATTAAAAAATAATTTAATTTACAGATTTAATTAAATATTCTTTTTAATTATTTTCAGATTTGTCCATCAGGCTGCAAAGAAAATGTGCTTTCTGTTATAATATTTATATTTCTACTGTTTTGTTTCCTTTCACTGTTGTAATCTGAGGTTTTTTCCTCCCAGTTTTTGTCTACATTCATTCTCCTTTATTCGCAGCATGTTATGTTTTTCAACTTCAAGTTGCCTTTGTGAACAAGAAATTAATTGATTTATTTTTCAACAAAAGCCTAGTTTCCTCTAAGTTAGAAGGTGGCATGTTTTGCACAGAAGCCTATGAAACTACCTGCACATTTATCACTGAACTCTACAGCTCTGCAAGAAAGGGTGTGTGAGTAAGTGTTGCAGGACTGAGTGCATAATGTGGTTATTACCAAACATTATTATCCTGTTTGTGTGTGGATCAATATATAAAAAATCTCTTTAATTCCAAGCAGTTTTTGTCTAAATTAGAATATTATTCTGGCATTGAGATGTTAATGTTTATTTTTATAATGGGCACTTTTTTGTTAAGTTACTTTTTTTTTATCAGGGAATAGGTTTTCGGTGTCTCAGGCTACTGTTTATGATTTTTTTTTTATTATGTTACCGAAGAATCTTTTAAACAAAACCCTACTGTGCTTAACTGAAGTGTTAATGTGTTTTGATCACTTCCTTGATTTGTTTTTGTTTATAGATGTCAGCACTGTAATTGTCATCCTGCAGGAGCCATTAGTGGGTCTTGTCATCTTGTTACTGGACAGTGTGTTTGTAAACAATTTGTAACTGGCTTGAAATGTGACAACTGTGTTCCCGATGCTAGTAATTTGGATGTCCACAACCTGTTTGGCTGCAGTAAAAGTAAGTGGATGTTAGGTCTTAAAAGCATATCTTTCAAATTAATGTGTTTTTTGTTGCTGCTGTTTTTTTTTTTTTTTAATTTAGTGAGTATTAAATTAGTTCAGCAGTACTGAAACTGGGTTTGACTATTTGCCCCTGACCCCCCACCTTATTTCTGGTCCCTGAAGTTTGGGTGGTTTTCACTGTGAGCATCTTTGGGGTGTACGGAGATGTACGGAATGCTTCATGTCAGACACACAGCTTATGCTTGCAGTCTAACCCAGGGGAGGAATAATGGCCCATAGTTCCCTTGCACTTTCCACCATGTCTTTGTAGTGACCAGTGCTGGGTTCACCTTTTAGCCACAGGAATGCAATAGCATTTGTGCAATTTAGTTAGCCCCCTTTCTTGCCATTGACAGGAGGCAGGAGACCTGCCTTCAGAAGGTCTGAGGAACAGAAGGTCTGTTGAAGAACCGCTCCTGGTCATTAATTCAAAATCTGCTTCTCAGTGCAATATAGCCTTTCTCCTCTTGGGGCTTTTTTTCTCAGATAAAAAACTGAAGAAACTTTGAGAAAGTATGTGATGTTGTGTAACAGAGCATCATAAATTGGCATGTGTGAGGTGGGGCTAGTGCTGTGTTGAGGGTCAGATCATGAATTGTAATGAAACATCCACAGTTCTGCCCTTATAGTGAGTCTGGATGTGAAGAGATGGCACAACTTCAGCCTTTTATGTCATAATTAGTCAAAATTAAATGTTCAGATTTGCTCACCAGTGCACAGTCTCTAAGCTGGCAGGGATTTTAAAGAAGCAGAGGAGAAAAATATTTAATAAGAAAATTAAATTTTTAAGTCGTCTTCGGGTCAATGTTCAGAAACAGGCTTTAAGGACATGATACCATGCAATGCCAAACTGTGTGGGGAAGGACCTCAGCTAATTCTGAAAAATTTTTGTAGTGTATTTGTGACGAACCTTACTGCCGTACACAGTCAGCAGCCCAGTTTTGGAAGCTGTGTAACCAGTGAATGGAGTACTCTGCAGATGCTCATTGGTTATTTCTGTCAGCAGGCCTAATTAATAATGGCCACGCTGGTCCTACTGTGAGAGTTAGCTCAGGTTGCCATGCGTAATGCAATGACAGGGTTAGACATTCCCAAGTAATCTCTGGAGTATTTTCTGGACTCTCCTTCCACAAAGTATTTCTTTGTGTTTACTGCATAGGTATTCATGCGGTGTTCATCTCTGTGATGTGTACACACTATAGATTTGCAAGCAGAGATGTACATGCACAAAGAGTTCATTTACAAGGACAGACAGCTCTCACTTTGATTCCAGTTTGTATTTAATTGTAAAGCGGTTTAAATTTCAAATAGTATGCATTGCAGAATGCACAGTGCTATAAATGGGATAGAACAAAGAGACTGATCTGTTTCTAGAGGTGATTTTTTTTCTCAAAGTTTGGAAGTGCTTAGGTGCTGTTTTATTTAGTTTTTCCCCACACTGTTCTGTAGAAGGCATAGTATCTATTCATTGTGCTGATAGTTGATTGGCCTGCTGTTTCTTTAAAATATGTAGGATGTTTCAACTGAATGTATAATAATAATAGTACATGGCACTTTTATGATGCTGTTCATCTTCAAAGTGCTTTACAAACATAAACCAACCTACTTATTTATGTTGGGATATACATTGGATAAAGGTCAATGGCAATTCAACGATAAAATTGATTAATAATATGACATAGATAAATAATGTCATAGATTTTAGTTAGAAAAAAATACATCAGGCAATATTCTAAATGACAAGTGGAGTCCTCTTCTGGATGGAAATGATATAGCAATTGCAGTCTTTTGGTTATTCATACCAAAATATTTTAACTTGTTGCACAGATGTGGAGCTTTGCCTAGCTTGGTATTTGTGATGATTTTCATTGCAGAACAGTGTTTTGTTGACAGATACCATTACTGGTTATAAGTCTTTGCCAAGGGAAGCAAATGTAAGTTGCTGTCGCTGCCCAACTAACACTCCTTAAGGAAAAGACCTATTTTCAGTTTTTCTGCCCAACAGTATCTTAGATGCTCCATAAAAAAAGTCTAAAACACAGTACTTTTCTTATACATCTGAAATGCAAAGCAGCAAACACGTGGGAACAGTATGCAATAGTGTGAGACTGAGAAAGGAGAAGGAAGGTTATGCCAGTAAATTTCTATGATTGCTGAGATCTTGTAAGCATGTATTACATGGAGAGAAAGTTTCAAAAATGCCAAAGGGGTTTGGGAGCATTTCTTTCCTCTGATTCTCAAACTTTACTCCTGTAGACACTTTAGCATATATTCACTTCCTAACTCAGCTGAACTCGAAAACTTTATTGGCAGCACCACAACCTATGCTTTCTAATAGGAGATGGTGATTTGATGTTCGGTTCGATCTGATGAGTTCTAGAAATGTTTTTTGCTGTTTCTTGGCTGAGAGACTGCAATAGGTACAGGGTTTTGTATTATCTTACTCTAAATAAAGAGCTTCAACTCGTGTTTTACATTTGTGTTAAACACCTGTATGCAATGTGACCCACTGATGTTGGTGTCTCTACGTCTAATCACTTGCGTGGCTTGAGATGCTCATGTCATTTTATGTCTGCAGCTTCCCTCTTTGCTTCCTGTCTCCTGTTAACTTGGCTGAACAGATTTTGATAATCAACTGTTAGTGAATTGTGCATATTAAGCAAATATCCACATAATGAATATGATGACAGTTTATAAACAGAAGGAGAAAAAATTAATGAAAAGCCACATGTTTCTAATGTTGATATTTTCCTATAATGCTTAATGTAACAGAGAAAAGCTTATTGGGTGCTTCTGGATCCAGCTCCTGGTAGCTTACTCCAAATGCTGATTTCTGTACTGCCCTCGGCTATTCTCATTCCTGATTTTCCTTTAGATCCACACTCCTCTTGTTCTCCCTCCCTTGGTAAAGAGGGGAAGGAAATGGCACAGTCTGCCTTTGAATCAAGCTATTGCAATTACTAGCTGCCGAAACAGACTGGTCTTGTTCTGTGCTAATGCACGGTGCGCTGAGGGTCAGAGACTCGTGCTTTCCTTAGTGTAACAGGCTGGCTGGAGGTCTCATAGCAGGGTATGGACTCATGCTCTGCCTTGAACAATAACATAAATATAGAATCACAGAATCACTTAGGTTGGAAAAGACCTTTAAGGTCGTTCAGTCCAACTGTAAAAATTTGTGTTTATGCTCACATCTGTGTATATATGTATATGTGCATATCTATGCATATAAAGTTCAATTTCTGAGTAATAGCCATTGTCTTAGGAAGGACCATGACCATACAGTAGGATTACAGAAGAAACATAGGAGGGGTTTTGACTGCTCTTTCTGAAAATGTGAGACTTTTGGCTTGTGAACTTCAGGTTTGTTTTTCTCTTTATTGGTACTGATGCAATTAAGTAGCACATTTTCCAAAGTTAATGGAGGTGATAACAGAATAGTATTTTGGTAAATAAGAATCTCAAGCTGATTTCTTAAAATGTTAGACACCTCGCTCTCATTGATTTAAATTTCATTTGAAACAAATGGAAGTGAATTGCCTAAATAACCTTCAAAATTGGCCTCTTTGTGGTTTTTTGTCATTTGATTAAGTAGGCTTATTGTAACGCTTCAGTAAAATCTGTAGTTAGTTGGACTTTCCATTTCTGTTGTATTAGAGGAAGTTATGCCTGGCCTATGCTAAAATGGAATGAATCCTCTGAAAAAATAAATTATAATTGAGCTATAGACTTCAGTAATTTGACCAGATAAACATGTTCCTGTTTTATAGAGGTCTTGAAATACATTTTTTTTTTTAAAAAAAAAAGTCTTTGGAAAACTGTTGTGTACTTGCTTTAATTTGCGGGGTAAAGGGGGATTGAGTAAATTTGTCATTTGTTTAAATGTAGAAATTTGCTTCATGTACTTGGATAAAAAGCTTTGTTGGAGAGCATTTGGATGGATCAGTTTAGTCTATTAATGTCTTGCCTGTATGTTTACTCGACAGTTTTTCTTTGAAGAAAACTTAGCAATTTCTTTGCGTTTTTATTTAAATTCGTGTGATTATTGATTACCTTCATTTTTACATCCTCTGTTTTTGTGTATGTTTTAGCTCCATTCCAGCAACCTCCTCCTACAGCAGAAGTTCTCAATTCCTCTGTTATCAGTCTTTTGTGGAGTTCCCCTGACTCTCCAAATTCTAACAGGCTTACTTACCAGCTGTATAGGGATGAGGCCAAAATCTATACAACCGAAGACTACCACCCTTATAGTAAGTATTTATAGAAAGATGACATCAAAGATTTTGTGTTTATGTAGGAGTGTGTGTGTACATATCTATATATATGTGCAATTTTTCTTAATTATTTCTCGTTTCTGTCATTATCATTCTCTGTGATTTTGAATACATTAGTCTGTTTTCCTTTAGTGAGTTACTGTTCTATGTTTTTAGTTTTGCTTGAAAGAAATTAATTTCCTAGTCTAAAATTTGGCAAACTGAGTCATCCAAAATGGCTGATTATTTTTTACTTTTTAATCTGAAGAATGTTGACATTGACTCACCAAAAGTATTCCCTGCAAATATACACAGGCGCCAAAATCTGAAAAAGGCAAAGTCCCAGATAAAGAATTAGGGTGAGTGGAAGAGACCACAATGTGCTTAAACTCCTCTTTTCATCCTCCTGGTTTTAAACTGTTAACAGATTAGGAAAGCTTTTTGTGGCCTCTTAACTTTTAGCACCTTCTGTTAAGCTATCAGTGTAGCTCCTGATTTGCCTTTAGCAGCACCACTTCTGTCATGTTGAGGCTTGCAAAGGGATCCTCAGAAGGCAGTCCTCAAGGATTCGACACTCGGTCCTAGATGGAAAGGCCATTTTGTGCTAATATTGATCCTCTTACCAAAGCGAAGGAGATGGGGGTTGGGTACTGTTTTTATGTATATATGGCACACAAGTGGTTTTTTTTAAAAAGAGAGATGTGGTTGAATGCGGCTAAGGTTTGATCTGTGTTCTAGCAGCTTCTTTAGTTTGTGGCATTTTTGTACCAATGCAGCACTAATATTTTGCAGAAGTTAAGTCTTTCTAATTATTGGCATGTACCCTGGAGGAAAAAAAATCCCAAACCTGACTATTATTCAGTGGAAGCACAGATCCTTTGGAATGCACCTGACATCTTTGTGTTCTGGTGCATGCTACTGTGTTACAGTTGATTACTCTGTGGCTTATGCTGTGAATTTGAACTCCTCAGTAGATACCATGAGGAAAGTATGCAACCCGTGTAAGTATGGGATTAAGTGATTGAGAGAAGAGAAAGAAACATTACAAAAAAGTTTAGAGACCTAATAGAAAGTATTTCAATTCCTCAATTTGGTTTAAAAGACTAACCAGTACAAATGTGAATTAATTTCAAAAGAAAACCCATTATACTTTGTCATAAATTTGTGCTTAGTAATGTACTTGAAACTGAGTGCATTGTCTAGGATGTTATTTCGTGACTGTACCTACATATTTTGCAGAGAGTGAAAAATTCTGAATGAATTTAGCTGGATAATGAGACATTTGCATGTTTCTATTTAATGAAACATTGTTTTGTAAAAACATAGATTTGGTTTCAAAAGATGGTTTTGTCATTTCCTGTAAATCGTCTTAATTAATGATGTGAAATTGTCTGCTGGTGCTTGAATATCAAGAATACGTTGTTAATGCTGTCGGAACTTTTGATAATGTTACTTTTTTTCCTCAGTATAGTGTGAAATTTGTAATGCTTATGAAATGCCCCAAGAGTGCAACTGGATGAACATTATCTTATGGCTAAATGAGAGTTTTATAGAAACATTGAACTTCCCAAGGAAAATTAAGAATAATCTTCTAAAACGTCCTGGCGATTTGGCTGATAGTATTGCAGAATACCCAATTAAAGCAATGTTTTCCTGACTGTTCGGGGAAACCAGTGGCTCAGGAGATACCAATCCTTCTTTTGAGGATAAGACGAAATACTCTAAAATGTGAAAAACCCCCCAAAGTTACTTACCGTTCTAACTTCAAGTCACGTTGATTCTAGTTATTTATAAATGCAGCTAAATACATGGTGGAGTTGTTCACCTGAGGAATGTAAAACCTTCTACCCTTTGGCTTTCTTCAATTTTATCTAGCCTGTATTCCTACTGAAATGAAGATACCATCTGTTATTCAGGTGTTCATCTATATGGAATGAACTTCCCCGTAATGTTGAGATGGTACTGGCTACTTTTCTGGCAGACAATACCAACATTCTGGGTGATCTGCCTCTTCCAATAAGGGGACAGTAATGTGCTTGCTGTCGACATTAAACCTGGGGCCCTAGAGGCTGGGTTGGCCCTAGAGTCTGGGTCTGTTCCAGAGGCTGGGTTTTGGGGGTTGGTTGGTTGTAGAGCTAGGGTTGTGTTGGTGCAGTCATTTCTAGGGCAGGTATGGATGGTGGAGTTGGTAGTTTGGTAGGGAGATGGTTCTGGAGCACACCCTAGCTCGCTTCTTCATTCTAGATCAGGTTCCAGATAGCTGCTTAGTTCCAGACGGGGATAATGGTTTATCTAGCTTGTTGGTTCAGGACTGCTGATTGTTTCAGGACCATTTCTTGGTTCCAGAGCAGGTTCTGGCTCACTTGGTTCTGGCGCAGGTTCTAGTTTGATTGATGGCGCTCCTTGTTGATTCTCGATCGTGTTCTAGCTCTCTTTGATTCTAAAGCAGGGTTGGGTTCTGAAGTGAGGAAGTCCTGGAATCTAGTTTAGGGGGTAGTCCTGCTTCGTCATGAGGATTAGTGGTACTTGCTGCTGCTGATAGCAGTCATGCTGGTTTGGTTTCTTTTTCTTTTTTTTGCATACTTATTTCTCATCTCTGTGGTTCTTTTGAATTGAAGACCTGCAGGATGGGGATCCTATCATCCCATAAAGTGCAGCTTTCCCAAGTTTCTAGCATGCTGACCTGACTCACACTGCCTCTGTGGCCATTCTTTTCTCTGGAGACAAAATCGGAAACTGGACACATGCCAAGTTCCCCCTTGCTGGTGTCCTTCACAGCAACTGGTTGTCGTGTTCCTGCTTGGGGGATTCATGCCAGTCTGTCCAAGAATCTTGTCTAACACTTGTCAGATTGGCTTTAGTACCCACTCTTGCTCCCAGAAGCACTTCAGCCAGGGTAGGAGTGTCCAGGCAGTTCAGAAAGGTCTCAATGCTCAAGTACTTTGACTCGCAGTTGCGAACGGCATGCAACCCAAAAGCTGAAGAATAAAGAGCTGAATCTCACTGGCAAGGCTGAAATCCGCTGCATCACTTGCCTGCTCGCTGCTAATGCACAAGGATGTTGCAATAACCATTGCTGGCACTGGCAGAGCCATTCTCCAACCTTGCCTGAAGTACCAGGGTTTGAAGGGCATGAATATGAGATTAACGGGTCTCCTTATTGCTGGACTCCGGCAATAAGTCTGTGATCGCTTTAGGTAGTTGAAGTGCTGTAAGCAATTACTGGGCTGCTGCTGCTGCTTTTGTACTACAATGTCAAGGGTTGAATATCTAGCAATGCTCATAATTTTGTGTTTCTCTTCTTTAAGTTGTACGCTGGACTGGCTTGCCAGTGCAGATGTACAGAGAGGACTTAGCTGTGTCCTCTGTTTGTTTCGAAAAAGTTTAAGTATCTGTGCTCTGGCATGTAATATGTTACTCACAGTTCTCTATTTCTTAAGACAAAAGAGAGTATGGTGGTGGTATGGTTGTACGTAAAATTACATTGTGCTGTGATGCCTAAGATGTGCAACTGCTTCTGGGATATATCCAGGAGCTATTCGTGGTCATGGCTGCTAAAAGGCTGCTGAAAAGGTGTCTACAGTAATGGAATGTAGGGGGTGAGGAAGGTAAATATAGGCTTTGGTGGATATACCTTTTTAATAATTATTTGCACTTCTGTTTCACTTTTCATCCCAGATCAAATGCTTTACAAATGAACTATGAAGCACTATTTTAGAAGTGAGGATGTGAAAGCACAGAAAGATTAAATATTTGGTCTTACGCTATGAAAAGAATCAAAAACATAGGTGTGAAAATTTACAGATTGGTTTGGGTTTTTTTCCTAAATCAGATCTACTAATATCAATGCTGATTTACATTTGAAATAATTATTTCCAAGCAAAGGAGGAATAAGAATATCATTATATTAATATGTTCATGATTACATCAGGAACTAGGAGAATTTCAGTGGAAAAATTATTTCTCTAGTGGTGCCAATGTGCAGTGGAAGATAATAAAGGGAAAAGGGGAGTGTTTCCTTCCCTGTTTAAAAAAAAAAAAAAAATCAAACAAACTTGAGAAGTTACAATGTTCATAATGATCTCAGGAAGAGCATACAAATTGGCATAAATATCTTTTATCTTGGATTAGTGCTGGAAAGACTTTCACTATGCAAATTAAGATTATTTTTAATGTGTTAGACTGATACAATTTTCTTCTCACCTGTTTGTTTTAGGTGTTCAGACCTTCACCGATACCATGTTATCTCCATATACCTTCTATTCCTATTATGTCCAAGCCAGCAACGTTCACGGTTTTACTAGAAGTGCCTCAGTGACATACAGAACAAAATCTGGGATGCCTACAGGGAGCCTACATTTAAATCCTGTATTTCCTGTTAGTCACCGCTCTGTTTTACTTTACTGGACAAGCCTCTCCAATGACTCTGGGCCCATAGAGAAATACATTTTGACATGTACGAGCTTGGTTGATCTTCAGCCCTGTGGTCAGTATGAAGGCTTAAAAACTTCAGCAATTATTTGGAATCTCGTTCCATTTACAAAGTATGTTTTTTCTGTGCAAGCTTGTACTAGTGGAGGCTGCTTAAAGAGCCAGCCAGTAACAGTAATTACTGCACAAGCTCCTCCAGAAGGGCTACACCCGCCGATGGTAGAAACCATCAGCTCTACAGAACTGTCTGTGGAATGGTCACCACCTGAGAAACCAAATGGTAGGACATTGTATTTACTTTTGTAAGTCAAAGATTTTGCAAAGAAAAAGCAGCATTTTCTCAAATCTGGTTAGAATATCCTTATCCATGCGACATCAACTGAGAATGAAGTAAGGCATTGCCTTAATTTGCCTGTCTGCCACTAAACGTATCCTTAGAGTCTGTGTTTTACTCTCTTGGAGTCCAGAACTCCACCTGAATGTATTTGGTCCAGGATTTAGCCCTTAGTGGCATCTGCTGCAGCAAAAATCACTTTTGTAATTAAACATTTACAGTAAAATTAATTTTTTCCTAATTTGCCAGATCACCTAGTTCAGACAGATGTGGTGATATTGCCTGACAAAGAATAAACAAGCAGATAACAGTTATGGAAAAAAAATAATCTAAGAATTATCAGAGAGGGCTGTTTTTAAAACCATCCGTCATGTGTAGTAACTAATTCTATTACCAGTATAACTTTGTTAGGGATTAGGCGATTGCCAAGAGTTGCTGGTCTAACTTGCGTAATAATATTTTAGGTTTTTGAAACTGAGAACGCAGCTGTTGTAGGTTACTTTTGTGATGCCACATATTTTACTGGTAAACACTTTATCTTTTAATATATGTGCAGTGGAGTTTTGTGCACTTGCATTTACATGCAAGTATTTGTGCATGCAAAAACAAGCATTTTGATCTGTTCACAAAATGGGCATCTGTGTATGGGGAGCTCAGCTTTCTCTTCAAACATCTCATTTGCCAGCTATTACCAGATTAGACAGGAAGAATGCTCGCACAAGAAGGCCTGTATGTCTTTAGAGGGGGTAGTTGCTACAATGCAGGTGATGATATGTGCTGTTAGCACTGGTCCCTCAGCCTGTATTGTTCATATACTCTTCATAGTTTACTCTATAGCCATTACATGCTTGTAATTGCCAGCACAGGCAGATTTAAGCAATACTGTCTTTTGATATCTGGCCAAATTTCCTGGTCTTTCGAAAGACAAAGAGAGAAGCTGTTTCTCCCAAGCAATTTCTCCAGTCCTGTACATGAATATAGCCTCAAATATATACATTATATGGTAATTAACTATCTCCTGGCTTTCCTGTGTCTCTCGTCTTTTCCATTTGGGAAATCTCCAGTCATCTTTCTTACAGTCTATTCTTACAGTTAAACTGCTTCCATGATCCAGTGTAGATCATGCATCACTTCATACCAACACAGAATTTTTGGTGGTGTTTTTTTTTTTTTTCCCCAAATTGGTGAGACCTTCCTATGTACATAGTAGGTTTACATTGGTGGAAAACTCTCTCACACACACACGTATCTCCTATCCAGTAATATGTTCTAAAAGGTTGGCATTAAAATGTCGCACAAAAATTCCCTACTCATTGTGTAAAAAAAAAAATAATAATTTTTTTTTTTTAGAAAAAATTAAATATGCCTTTTGCCTTTGAAAATCAGAGGCCTGAAGTAATTTCCAGTAACATTTGATGAGAACTTTAGGATATTGTCTTCCAGTGAGGATAGTAGAACTTATATTGTAATACAGCCATTTGTTTTCAAACCCCAAAATTGCATGGGATAAATACAAAATAAACAGTGTAATGCAAGAAATGCCAAAGTAAGCATTTGAATGAAAATAGCAGAAATGGGGAAAACTTCTAATGCTATATCTTCTGTGATGTTGATTGATTGAGTCATAGCTCATTATATATATAACTGACATTGATATTTTAGTAGAACTTCAGAAATCATTTAGATACACTAATTTTTCTCACTTGCTCTTTTCTCTAGGCATAATTATAAGATATGAACTTTACATGAGAAAAAAATTAAAGCTGGCTGGGAACATTCTTCCACCTGAAATTCGTATTTTCCAAAGCAGTGGATGGCTCAGTCCTCAGCCAGTTATGGAGTCTCCTAATGAAAATGCCCTGGCTCCACCGCAGACGAGTACCACAGTCACTGATCTGGAGCCATTCACAGAGTATGAATTTTATGTGCTAGCAGTAAACATGGCAGGTAGCGTATCTTCAGGCTGGATATCAGGAAAAACAGGAGAGGCTGGTAAGTATTGGTTTGAATTTCTTTGATACAAATGAAAGGAAAAACTAAAATAGAATGCGCTCTTAATTTTTTTTCAGTAGTATGTGTCTAGTGATGATTCAATTAGGGACAATTTTTCATTTTTCCACTAATTAAAGATAGGTCAGATTATCTTAGAACTTCGTGTGTTAAGCAAAAACATTTTCTTCACCATAAAATCATATGGTTGAAGAAAATAATCCCTGTCAATTAAACCAAAATTTCAAAACTACAAGATCTCAAATTCTACCAAGCAGTGTTTGAATTCTCCAGGGTTTTCCCAGTTGTTATGTATATGTTCTTTAATGGGAAAAAAACATGAAAAAAGATTGGCTTTGTCACAAACATATTAACAATTGGTGCGAATCAGGAATGTTGTCCAAGGAGGTACGTGTGTCCAGAAAGGGGGTTCTAGTGAGTTTTCCTGAACTGAGGCTTTGATTGATTAGGAAGCAATTTAAAAAAAAAAACAAAAACTTGAGAGGGTCACCTTTTCAGGAGTATAGTACTTGAAACTTTTTGTACGCTTTTATGGAAGCCAAGTGTCATAATATGGAGCATTTGTTGTAGAAGTTTAGCCAGTTCAGAATGGCTCTTATTACAACCCTTCTGTTCAGATTTCCAAAAGGGCTTGCCACTTGACATAATTGTAATAACAGCTATTTATTTCAATATTTTCATTAGAAATCTAGGGGTTTTAGACTGATAGAGTCTGTGTTTTGCAATCAAACATCTCTGTTGCATCACTGATGCTTTTGTTTGCTGTTAGCTTGAAAATCATGACCTCAGTCATTCGCTATTGCAAAACAGCAGGCTAAACTAATTCCCCTTTCAAAATAAGTCTTTGTGCTTATCTGTTCTTAAATACTGTATGTTATAAAAGTGTTAAATTGTATTTGGGAAGAGGTCCATTAGTGTGGCTGTTTGTATGGAGCAGAAGTGCTATGAGTTGGTATCCTATTATTACAGAGTAATCAGGTGGGGATTTAACTGCAGTGCAAACAATCCTTTTACAGATTTACTATGGAAGACAGGGGAACTGTTTTGTAAGAAGTGAGAGACATGTTAATTTCAAACTGGCCTAGCAAACAAAATTGCTTTTAAGATGCTGAAGTATTGAACACTTTTTGCTTTTATCAGTTTTTTCCCAGGTTGCATGAAGTTTTTCTTCAAGACCTTTTCTTTTGTATGTGCTTTCCTACCTGCTACAGGGGTTAGGACTTTAGTGTTGATTAGTATTTCTTCGAAGACATAGGCAGAGTTTTTTCTACGTTCATGTCCAGAGTAGAAGACAGGAGAATGATGGGTGAGGTACTTTTTATGTACTATCAACATTATATGAAAATTCCAGTTAGACTTGAAAATAAGGTTAAAAAAAAGAAAAAGAAAAGGCTCTGAAATGGTGTTTTACAAATACAATGAGAAATCTTGCATTACACACATCGCTCACTTATTTTATTAATATAATTATATTAATTTTATTTCAGCCCCAATGTTAATGCCATCTCCGTCAGTGTTCCCTCTTTCACCATATTCCCTCAACGTGTCATGGGAAAAACCTGAAGAGAATTTAGCAAGAGGAGAAGTGATGGGATACAGCATCAGTTTGATGACTGAACAAAGGTTCTTGCCACCATTTTCCCAGGTATTATTTTTAAGTTACATTAAGTTTTTCCTAACTGGTTGTAGTAAAATTGATAAAGTCTGATGTCCTCCTTGACACTGTGATGAATTCTTTCCCTGATTTGCTATATGTCCTCTGATCTAAGTTTTTCACCTATTGGTTTATCTTGAGCGCTCTGTAATGCTACACACTACTTGTAGGTTTTAAGTTGTATTCCTGAGCTGACTTGTTTTCAGTAGTGGGTGACATTCAAAATTAGGAGGGATGAGACTGAGCAACAACATTTAAATTACCTTGATCTTTGCCTGTTCTGATTCTGTATTATTGCTATATTTGCTGATATGCTTCAAGCCATGTTGTTTTGTAGGAATCTACATTTCCATTAAGAAGGTACCTATCTGGCTTCCTGGATACTGGAAAAATGTTTCAAGTGGGGAAACCTAAAATAGCAAAAGACTAACTTTATAAAGTCTAAATATGTGACTTTAAAATACTGTTGTATTTTTTGAGTGACTGGGTTTGACAAACAGATATCATGGCAGTAGGAGTAAGCTAAAAGCTTAGGAATGAGCAAAGGAACATGATATGCAATCAGAATGTGACAGTGGATCTGGTGCACCAACTTTGTATTTCTCATTTCAGAGCTGATTTTGTCTTTCAGTGGTACCACAGATGGGCCTCAGTTTATTTGTCTATGAAATGGGGATACTGTTGCTCCTGGGGCTGTTGTAACAATACATAAATGTAAATTGCTTCTGGTCACAGGCTTGCAAGATTTTTTCATCTAAATACACATCTGATAAAGAAGTTATCTAAAACAAAAGTTTATTGAGTTCCACTCTCTCTGATAGCTTAAAGTAATGTTAAACTAAAGCAGATTCAAATGTCTGTAGGTATTAGTTATTCCCCTCCCTCCTAATGCCTGCTAATCATGTCACTCATTCAATGGTGGTCAGATTTCACCACTTAATAGTGTCATCTTCGTCATCTGGATTGTAGCCGCACTGTTTGTAGTGGTAACTGCACCACCACACAGTTTTATGAGGCAATAACTTTATTTCCTCATTTATCCACTCAGGAACTGCCTTATTACCTCATAAAACAGTGTGATGGGAAGTATTATCACCTAAATCCTAGCTCGTTCAGATTCTCCAAAATAATCCTTTTCCTCAGTTGGTCTTTGCAGGCTTTTCCACTTATAAATGAAGGAATCTGCTAATTCGGTGAATGTGTCATCAATTAATAGGATTGAAAATATTATTAACCAGCTGCCATCTTCCAATCTGTTTGCTTTGCAGGTTTTGCATATAGCTGAGGCTCATGAGCTATCCTATGTAGCAACAGGATTAAAACCTTACAGGATGTACAACTTTACTGTTACTGTCTGCAATCAAATTGGTTGTGTAACCAGTGAGCCAGGCACCGGGCAAACCTTGGCAGCTGGTAAGAAAACAGTCTGTATCAAAGTGCAAAGCTGACGCACAGTTTACTAATGAATACCATTAAGATGATCGTAGTTTGATGCACAGTGACAGGGGTAGGTGTTTTATTAATACAAAGTGACTTGCTAAATTATTATTTGTTTATCCTGACAGATTAAAACCAAAGTGTTTTCGATGAAGGTTTAAGGTACACTGTTATGGTAATCAGATTTGTGTACTGCTCTCTGAATTGCAAGTTATGGAAATGTATATTTTTGTTCCTATTTATTTAAACAGTAAATGTACATAAATGTGGCTGAACCCATTCATTCGTTTACGATGCTAAGAAGCTGTTAATTTGTTTTGGGGTTTTTTTGGTGTGTATGTCATGTTTGCATGACAGGGAATGTAAGATGTGCGTGCTGTGCCAGTGCCTTGCTTAGCTCATGAGGGGGTTGTATGGTTTTTGTATTAAACTCTAATAAATGTACATAGTGTATTTGTGTGTCTAAATTACAAGCAACATACATGCTTTGGGTCTGCTCTTTGAAAATGTGTCTCTGTTTAGCCCCTGAGATTTATGAGATTTTGCTTTGTAGATATGTATACTCACACTTCCCTATGGAAACAATGCTTAAGAAACTGCATATAAGTGCTTGTGCACGTTATTAATTTTGCAGTCTTACAATTAGTTTCAACCACATATATCATGGGTTTCAAAGGTACTAGCTTTCTACAAATTTAGGGGAAAATAAGCAACAATACAGAACATAAATGCAGAAAGCCTGTATTTACTTTGAAGAAAAAACTGTTGCAAACTCACTTCTTAGACATCAGAGGATCAAGAGGGTTTTAAAAGAGAAATTGTTAGGACAATCAGCTTCACAGGTCTCTTTATTCGTGGAACGAGGTAGTCAGTACAGCTCTTTAATACTAGAAGTATAAACTCACATTCCATGCTGTGTGACATACTGGTGGTCACCTGGAGAGAGCTGACTGCTTCACATTGTGGTTTCCTTTTGTACAGGCGTTTAAAGCACATTAATTACTTTCACAATATTAACATTTTTAGTTAAGCACTTAGTGGTGTTGTCATATGGATGTTGTGATGATGATCTTTGAAATTACCTCTCTTACGTAATTTGGTCTCCCATAGGAAAAAAAGCTGAAAATTTCTGCTGTGCAGAATGTTTTCCTAGGCTCCCTGGGATGCATTTGAGTTGCCTGAATTCTATCAAAGCTCCTCTGTGTAATCGGTGAAGAGATAGGAGCTTCCAGACAGGGAATGAGGAGTTGCCCAGAGCCAGTAAATAGGAAGCTTTTTATACATGAACTGAAGTGGAATTTAAGCTATTGGGATATTACCTCTAGTCTGCCTCTGTTCTTCATCTGTCTATATTTATTTAATTGGCTTTCCGTTTGTTCTCAAGTGGAAGATAGACGATTTATTCCTTGATTCACCATATTGGCTTTGTGATTCACTGGGCAAAGATTGTTCTGTCAGTCTTCTCTCTTGCTGGATTGCTGATTTCAAAATTTATTTTGTTCCCTCATACTGCTACCTCTTAAAGTTTCAAGTTGGCTACAACTCATACAGAGCCTCCTGCTTGTATGAGTATGACTTTATCCCATACCACACAGCCGTGCAAAGAACAGCGTTCCAGTCTGCGCTGATAACCATGGAAACAAATATGGCCTAAACGGCACACCTTATTACTACAAATGATCCAACTTTGTATTTATACATTTATTAAAAGATTCAGATACAATAGCTTAGTTATGCTTGACAGCTTGTTTATGACCATCTCCTCCCTGGTTGTGTTAGTACTTGGAGACCTATCACATTAGAGAAGACAGGAGGATACAAAATAGAATAACAGCCACGTCCCCATTTATTAGCTGTTTTGCAGTGTAGCCTTTTCCTGCTTACTGTTGTAAGCCTTGAAAGCAAAGAATCAGTCCTGTGTCAGGTTTGCCTTTTATGTTTTTAAAGTATGTTAATGCAGTGTCTAAAACTTTGACAAACTACAGAGGTTTTTGCACACAGTTTTATCTTCCACCATTCATATTTTTCATTTCTGGAGAAAATTGTTTAGTAATCTCCCCCCAGTTTTTTTTCTGTGTGTGCATGTTCTACTTTGTGAAGTTCTGTAAAACTGTGTTTCCAAAGAAAATTTTAAAGAAACACTACTTGTGTGATGACTTTTAGATGAATGCAAGTTCAAACTTGGAACAAAGTTGGGAGAACCTAGTCCACATAATTTGTAAAAGCAGATGATCGAGTTTTAGTCCATTAATATCCTTTTGTGTCATGGAACGGTGCAAAATGAAATTAAAATTGCCTTTCTAGGACTGTTGAGGAGTTCTGTTTCATGAAGGAATGTCTCCCTGGCACAGAGACAGCCTTCCTGGCTGGATGCCAGTCCCTCTCCATGCCCTGGCAAAGGGAGCTTTTTGGAGGAAGTCTCAACTGAAATGTACTCCAGCATGGTGGTCCCCTTGCATCGTAACACAATTCAAAAGCTTTGAATTGTGTTCCAAGCTGGGCTAAAGGTTATACTAAATTAGACTGATTCTTCTTCTCTGATCCTGAGGAGGATAACGGAAAACCATTTCTACTCCTTCCATGTGTGGGCTATACTGATTTATCACATGGAGCATTTAAATCAATGGCTACCATGATGACTGTGATTTTGGTGTGTCCAACTGATGTATATTAGCAAGGGCCTTGCTTTCGGAATTGCCAATGCCTTCTAAAATTTGCCACTAGAATACTCAAGTAATTTTTAAGTTTTGTTCACATCCATTAGGTTAATTTGAAGACTAACTATAAAAAAAAAAGATACTCTTCAAAATCTATCATTCTTTTTTGGCAACATTTTTTTTTTATATATACAGCATAACATGGCAAACAAAAACAAGGGCAGAAACAAGGGCATGAAATCATTAGAGTCAAAAATGCTGAGGAAGAAAAGTAAGAGGCTTTTAGAGAGGATTTAAAAGACAAAGAAAAGAGACTTCTACAGTCAGGGACAGAATTTGAGGGTAAGCTCTAAGGGAGCAGAAGCATCAGAAAGAGTCTGCTGATCTTTCAATGAGGAGTCTTTTGTAGTATAACTTAAAATTGGTTAAAATAATCCAGAAGCAAGTTTAACAAGCAGGTCCCTTCTAACCTGGCTCAGTATAGACATCTGTACTCTCATAAGTAGCTTTGCAGGAGGAGAGTGAAAGAAAACTAAAATCAGCCATATTCCTTTCATCTGTGAGACTGGCAAAAAATCTCCTTCTCACCAATATACACACCCACGATATTTGTAAATGGTAATAAAAGAAAACAATTAACCCAGAAGAATGTGAGGTGAGAGAATGAGGAAGCAAGCAAAATAGAGTTAGTAAGAATCAAGTTGGTTTAGAAAAAGCTTAGTCGAAACTGTCACAAATGCATATAAAACCAAGAAGGAAAATAGCTGTGGTAAATAAAAGAATTTGCACAGGTATGCCTGATGCATGACCGGCTCCAAAAATGGCAAAAAGTGTTGGAAGATCAATGTTATGTGGTAACACAGAATTGGGATGAAAGACCAAGGCAAGGATGTCAAGGTAACAGAAGAAGAGAATTAACCTATTTCTGTTACTCAAAGAGAAGGTGACTGGACAGAAAGAGGACCTCAGTTTGGTATGTTCAGATGCAAATACACAAATAATTGGCTTTTAGAGACTCAAATAATTAAAAAATGTTCTATACTTTTTCGATCAGTCTTTTAAAAGTTACATTAAGAGGATGCACATTGCACAATCCTTGTGGTATTTCAAATATGCTTTATGCACTGCAATATTGTGCACATGCTATTGAAAGCCATGGCTGATAGATGAAGAAAGACTTCATTTTTAGTACTTTCAAAATTTGGAGTCCAATTTGAGCTTCATTTTTGTCTTTGCTACCCCAAGATCGTCAAGTGGAGCTGCATGTATGTAGATGAAAGCAATACTGGATAGTAATTATACATTTTCAGTCCCACACCTAGAGCCACATCTTACTTTATTCCTTTCTCCGGGTTCTACTGAGTTCAAATTCCTGTTTGTTTTTGAGAATGGCATTCAGCCTGTTGTTGTTGTTATGTTTTACACTATTATTTTTTTTATTTTCAAAAGCGCATTTTGCTCCCTGGTTTTATCTCATGTAGGATTCTGAACTAGTGCCTTGGAATCTATAGAACTATACTAGCTGGTACCAATGAAAGACCTGAGCCCTTAAAAGCAAATTTTTTTTTGACAACATGTTTGCATAAAATTATGAATTACTTGCATTATTCTTTGCAGTATCTTCTAAGACAAAATATGGGTATTTTCCAAATTTTTCAGTCAAGCAGAGAAAGACATTTTCTTTCCCAGCAATTTCAACAGAATGAAATTAGCCATGTGAGTTCTTGGACTAGTACAATTGGTTCTGCTACCCCTCTCAAATCAGATAGTCAAAGGGTGCCTTAAACAATCTATATACCTATGTTTCATTAACTACTGGGTGACTAAGCTTATTTCTTGTAATTAAGTTCATCTTTCCTTTGCCCTTCTTAATTTTTTTAAACTTCTTTTAAAAAGCGTGTTTTAAGACACACCAAAGTCTGGCTTTGTCATTGCTGTGATTTACTCCAGCACATTGTATTCCTGATCTTTTGCTCTTGATGGAAATCACAGGGTTCAGAAGCTAATTTGTAGAAGATATTCTTCCAGCACCAGCTGCATCTGGCTTCTTGGCAGATTTCTCAAGTAGTTGTATTGGTGGCTTTGGAGTTGCCTCTGGGTTTGCTGGGGTAATGCTGCTGATGGGATTTCTGGGCTGTCTTACAGTCCTTGATGTTGTTTCCTTTCTGATGATTCTTTTAATCTGAGTGATTTGTCCATTTTTTACATTCATGAATAAGGTCCGATGCAAGCCCTTTTCAAAAGCTTCAACCCATTTGTCATGGCAATACAGCATTTGTTTATGCCTGTCATAGACTGCTTTCCTACAAAATGCGATGC